TAGATATTCCTGTCGATACCAAATTATGGTGGGAGTTAACTAAGATGAGTGGAAAATTGGACTAAGTAGACATTGTTTAAGTTTTTATGTCAATTGACTACGGTCAATTAATCTTTGGTCAATCTGATCATAATGTTTGACTTTTAGTAATAGTTTATAAGGACTTGAAACTTCTTTTTTATAAACTTGTTTTCTATGCCAATCGAACGATGTGTGGATAGTTGTGATTCTCTTTAGTGAGATGTCAGATAGAATGTAGTGCATGTAGCTGGAAAAAAAAAAAAAATTAAATTCATTATTTTGTGACAGCCAAGAATTATCGAAATTCGATTATTAATTCATTTTATATGCATGCATTTACGTAATTCTTGTTTGTGACTATTATTATTATTATTAGAAGTCTTTGACTGACCGGTTAAAGATCTAATTATAATAAATTTATTAACGTTAAATGATTTAATATATAGCGATAGTAGGCATTCCCTCTATAATGTACAAAGAATATCTGAACCCAATATATGTGCATGAGATTCATTTTAACTAAAACTGGAATCACTTGATTCTGATTCTGATTCTGATTCTGATTCACCTAAACCTGATTCGGGTTCTACTAGATTTGGTTTATTTGGTTCGATTCTGGTTCACTTGAACTTGGACCAGATTCAACTGAACCAGATTTTGGTTCAATTAACTCGATTTTGGTTCATTTGAACCTAATTTGGTTCATTTTGGTTCACTTGAACTAGGATTGAACCGATTCTATTTATAACGAACTTGATAATGGTTTAATTAAAACCAATTTAGATTTACTTGATTTACTTGAACTTAGCGTTAGTTCATTGATAAGGATTTAATTCATAATTATACACAAGTTATATTTTCTATGAATGCATTACAATTTTAGTATAAATACCAATCATATCTACCTAATAATAATCCAACTGGCCATATATGTTGTGTCATCTCGTTTTGAATGCTCTAAAGGAAATTTTGTCCAATCACATGTTTTTGATTGGCTAACTAGAGAAACCGCTATAGGTCAGCTCATAGGCAATGATTGACTATGATTTACTATTGACATTTCCCCTATCTTTTTAATTATTTTTGAAATACAATTATCGCCAACTGTATATGATTTGAAATAACTGGTTATCGTTATGATATCTTTAAAATAATAACCCAACGGCCTAGAATTGATAAAGTCAGTCTATTGTGTAATACATTAATTAATATTTTATTAACCGAACGATTTTCGATTTTACTAATAAAATATGAAATTTCAAAAAAATATTATTAAAAGGTTTTGTCACTTTAAATATATCAAATGGGGTTAAACCTAAAAGCGTTTACAAATTTCTCTCAAGTTTAAATTAAACTGTTACAACAAAGAAACTTGCAAAATTTTAATATTACAATATTACTATTTCTAATTATATAAAATATATATTACACTTAAAACATGCGGATAACTCCAGCTAATAAGCTTGGAAGCAATTCATCTTTATGCATATACCAGTTTCCAAATTTAGCCGATTTTTATATGCATTATGCAATTAGAGTAATTATGCACTTGTAATTAATACGTAATCAGGTTGGGAAATGAATACATATACGTAGCCTGCAGTTTAATAATATATGCATTTAGACATATAAACAAAAATATTATGTTAGCTGGAAATGTACAGTAATTTGTAATATATACTGAATAAAAGGAGTACTCTCCAATACTGGAATGAAATATAAATCAGAATCGAATTATTTTCATACCGTACAACTTGTTTGAATTGAATGGCACAAAAAATCATTAAATCCTGATCGACGCTTCACATATTATGGACCTATAAACCTAAGTCCTAAAATTAAGACTTAGTCTTTAAAACTGAGACTCAAGATCTCTTGGGGTCTTGGATTTAAAGACTTCACTATCCCTACATCATTCAATAATACCTCTGAGTACAATTTATATTATGATTTTTCATTTAATTTATCTCCAGAATACTATAGTATAAGCAGTGCTAAATGATAAATGAAATAAACAAGTGAAATAGAAACTGTTTAAACTTTATTTTTTTTGTAAAATTCTAGAGTATTACCATGTTTATTTGAGATTAGTGTATAAGCGAAACGTGGTTAATTATTAAAAAAGAACAGTTCTCGAAGAAAATGAAAGAAGTATTGGTCATAATAATTAATAGTTAATAAAAATGACTAAAAATGACTACACGTTAATCCCATTACAATATACAAATATGTATAATTTTAAATATGAAGCATCAAAAAACTTAATGTCAATCCTACTAATACACTAAACATTAATTTTTTGGTGTATTCTAAGAAAGATGCACTGCTAGATACATTGCTAACTTTATTACTTGGTGCTGATTCTGCTGCTGCTGTTTTACCAGATTGTTTGGCAGGTTTAACGCTTGATGGTACAGTGTTTGATGGTGCAGATGGTGCGGATTGTTCAGTATCTGTCGCTGGTACGTCACTATTATAAGAATTTGACGTGTTAACGTTGGAAGAAGGTGGTGTGGAAGTTGGTGTGGAAGTTGATGCACTATTAATTGAAGAAGCTGCTGCAGAGTTGGTTGAATTGGATACTATTTTGCCGTTTTGACCAGGATTTTTTCCAGGCGCCGGTGCAGGACTTGGAGCTGGCGGATATTTACCATTTAAATCGGTAATTGTAAATCGTGTTGTATAGGCATCATTGGTACTATTACCATCAGAAAATCTGAAAAAGTACCCTATAATGAAAAAATAAAGATTATCGCACCAATATTTTACAATTATTTGAACAAAATAAAATGAAAAAAACTGCATACATTTGCCAACAGGGTCAACTATAGGGCAAGAATAGTCGATATATAATT